CTTCTGTCTAGAACAAACTTCTCAACAGTTAGGGAAGGACTTTATTTGAAATGACTTTGAATACTTTAGAATAATGTACAGAAGAGAAAAAAACTATGACCAATTAATGGCTATACCTTCAAATATAAAATACCAGTGTTAGGCTGTTATTATCAATATCTCATCCCTCAATGTTTTCAGCTCATAAGGATATTTATTCACGCATTCAATCAAAGAAACAAGGTAAGTCACCATAGAAATCTACAAAGGTTCAGAAATACAGCAGAATGCAGGATGCTTCAGATTGAATATAAGAGGACTGAGTGAAAAACTGTTTAAGAAGATATGATACTATAAGAGCCCCTCCCTTGTTTCATTCATTCATTCAACATGTGTTTATTGAGTACCTAATAAGTAACAGACATTCCAATAAAGGGCTGGGGAAAATAATCATAATAATAACAGCATGTACTATAAGCATATCCATAAGGCACACACATATGTGTGTGTGTGTGTGTGTGTGTGTGTGTGTGTGTGTGTGTGTTGGGGGGGAGAGGGCGGGGGAGAGGGAACAGAAGAGGGAGAGCGGAATGGGAGGGAAGGGAGGAAGAGAGTACAAGAGTGCGTGTGACATTTAGTATGTACCAGACACTGTTTAAAGCACTTTCCCTACATAAACTTATTTACTCCTCCCAACATCTCCATAAGGTAGGCATTATCATTTTTACAGAGGGTGAGACAGAAACACGGAAGATTACTTACATTACTCAAAGTCACACAGTCAGTAAGGGGTGGAGCTGAAGCTTGAAACCAGGGAGTCTGCATCCAGAACCCATACTCTTAACCACTATACTGTATCGTCCCTTTTATACCTATAACCAAACTGCCAAGTCTCTCTGCTCCCTCACGGTACTCACATAAAGACAACGAACAAAACAAACAGAAAAAGAGCACATTAAAAATGATACTGAGAGAATGAACAGATTTGAAAGTCGGACTTGGGGGGGAGGGGAGGCAAGGGCAACATACGTATCCTAAACATCTGTACCCTCATAATATGCTGAAATTAAAAAAAAAAATGATACTGAGGAAAGGAGAAGAAACTTAAAAACAAAATCCTGCTGTTTTCCAACTTGGGCCCAACAGGATGGATGGCTACTGCAAAGAAGGGTGGTGAGAAGAAGGGACATTCTGCCATCAATGAGGTGGTGAGCCAAGAATACACCATCAACATTCACAAGCACATCCATGGAGTGGGCTTTAAGAAGGACACCCCTCGGACACCCAAAGGGATCCAGAAATTTGCCATCAAGGAGATGGGGCTCCAGAGGTACACATTGATAATAATGCCAGAAAAAGCCACAGTGGTCATCTGCTCTTTCCCTTCTCATTTGCCCACACCTCAAGAATGAGGTTGGGTAAAAGCCCAGGGGGGGAATTGAAACGGCCCTTTCCAGTAAAGGGGTGCAAGGTGAACACTGGGGTAAGGGCCTAAAAATTCTGTGAAGGCACAGGCCTAGCTAAAAATAATGGTAATAATTAGTCAGTGTCCCCTTGTTTGCTCCTCTATAATTGCTACTCTGGAGTCACACAGCTGGTGGTCATAAAGAGTCTTAACTTTCTCCGTAGATAACAACACCTTTTCAAAACCTAAGGGTAGTTTCTGAGGTATTTTCCTGGTCGTGCATTCCAGTGGATTGGCTGACCAACTCAGATGTGCAGCCCATACCAACAAACTGACTCAATAGGAACTGTGACCCCAACTCAGGAACAAATTTAACACAAGATTTTACCCTAATTGCCTAATCCTTTGCCCGCCAAACTGTCTTTAAAAACTTTGTCTTCCAGATTCTCTGGGAGGGAGATTTGAGGAATGCCTTCTGTCTACCCACTTAGTGCTCTGCAGAATTAAACCCTTTATGT